AGCCACAGTTTACCGATGCTACCCCTGCACATTTCACATTTTTCAATAATAAGAATTTGTGAAGACGTTGGAGTTTGAAATGACTATATGTTTTTCCTGAAACCTTGTAATTAAAATATTTTCATGAAAAAAGTTGTCTAGTAACATAAATTGCTTCTGCATCGGTTCCACACACAAGACAAGGACCTAAAACATCCAAACTGTTGACGGACAAAGTCCTGTTGGGAAGCAAGCTCGTGATCTCAATACGGTCTTTCGCTGGGTCAGTGCTCAGCCAGGAGCTTAGAAGAGACTGGTGAACGTTAGCCTGGTTATTGATGCTGTGAGACAAAAAAGTACTACTTCTTCCTCCTGAGAGAAAAGAAAAGGGGGGCGAGGAGAATCTTCTTACTTTTTCTGGTCTTCCCTGGGGATTTTTTAAAATTGTTGACACTATTACAAGGGTCCCCATTTCCCCCCCTCTACTCAACTCCCACCCACCCTACCCCCACCCCCGCCTTCCCCGCATTGTTCTTTGTGTCCAGGGGCTATGCATATATGTATGTCTGTTCTTTGGCTAATCTCTTCCGCGGTGACACGGAGATTTTTGCTCTCCTGCGGGCCGCGCCCCCGCGGCACCACCACCACGTGAGCCGCGCCAGCCGCCTTTCCCATTCACCCAGCGTACACCCTTTTACACGGGCCCCTGGCGGATCCGAGCTCCCGGCACACCTTCTCCACGTACCCGCGGGCAGGAGAGCAAGAAAAAGAGACGCACCTTTAACACCGGACCAACTGCGACCCTGGGCCGAGATCACCCACACCGCGCCCGCCCATCACACCACGCCCCACCGGCCAGCTATACAGAACAGAGCGGACCCCGCGCCTCGAGCCCCTCCAGAGCCCGGCCACCTGGGCACCACGCCCTTGTGCTCAAGCTGGCGCGGCAGCTGGACGCCCAGGTCCCGCTGACAGCCCAGTCCGTTCCCCGCACCCCAATAAATCCCGGCTTCCCAAGGCACCTTCTCTCCCAGCAGCCCAACGAAAGAGAGCAGGTGCCGCCTAAGCACGGCACAGATCTGACTCTGCGGAGGCCAATGGGGGCCAGGCCCGGGGGCGGCCCGCCCCGCCCGTGACCAGCGGTGGCAGCTGCAGAGGCCGTCGCTCCGCACACAGCCTCACCGGGACGGCCCGTGCCGCGACCCTCCACCCGCGTCCTCCTGCTAGAAGCCGCGGCGCGGCGCGGGGCCGTGAGCCTCCAGCCGGGCCAGGCCTCCGGGGTACAGGGCGGCCACGCTGAAACCTCACAACAGCCGCCGCCCAGCCCGACGAGCTCCCAGCCTCCCTTCTCCCCGCACCGGTCCCGGCAGAGGAGGGGAGATGCCCCTGGAACGCGCCGCAGTCTCCGCGAAACCCGGAGCCGCTCGGCTTCCGCCCGCTGGTCCTGACCGGTCCCAGCAGCCACGGGGAGTAGGCCTAAACAATACAGGCCTGGGCGGGCAAAGGCAGCCCCCGCTTCTCCACCTCGCCTGCCCACACTCCGCGGGGCCGGGGGAGGCCGGGGGGCGCGGGGGGCGCTGGGGGCGGGGGGGGGGCGCGGGTTTCTGAGAGCGCGTGCCGCAGCCTCTCCCCGGCGCCTCTCTCCAGAGCGCACCTCCGAGCCCGGCTCTCAAACTGAAGAGATTCGGGGGGTGGAAAAATCAACACCTCTAACACAGACGGGGGAGATTTTGATGCAGGAAGTGTATGAAGCGCATGCTGAGAAACACGAGGTGGGGCCGTATTTCAGGAGACGGGTTACCTTGGTGGGATACTGACTCTTAAGATATTTTTAAAAAACATATTATTGATATATAATTCAAATAGTAGTGAGAAGGGCATAGGAATCGAAACATCTTAAAGCCTAAGGGCTGTTGTTGAGTCCTTTAGCACACGTAGGGTGTCTTCCTCATTTGCAGACCCCACATGTACATCCTATTGTAACACGGAATACAGAAATTACTCCCCAGAAACCTGATTCGAGGAAGGGAGATGCAACCGACTGGGTAAGAGTTACCTTGAAAGTAACTCGCGCTGGCTCGCTTCAGACCAAAGCCAAGCAGTTTGCCTGCAGCCCCGGAAGCCCGGGGAGCGCGTGACTTGACCGGTGAGGTAGCTGCGAGGCGGGTCCTGGGTTACAGCGCCCGCCCGACCGCTAGGAACCTGCTCGCTCTGCGACCCTGAGAGGCGCCCGCCCCGACCCACGGCGGCAGCCAGGGAAAGGGCGGTCCTAACCCGAGTGTGAGGAGTCGGAAGTGGAGTGAAGGAGGTGGTGTCAGGATTGAAACTGAAAGGCACAGGAGCCATTTTGGGTCTTGGTTATTTGGTCAGAGGAAGGAGAAGGGAAAGGGCTTCCAGCCTGTAGCCTGTGCTAAGGGATTAGACCAGGCGGCCTGCCTGCAGGAAGGGAGGCGGGCTTCCTGGCAAGGTCCAGTTCTGCTGCACCTGGATGTTACCTGGACTTTAAGACCTGTGCCTTCCCTGAGTTCACCTTGATCCAGAGGAACAGGGAACATGCTTTCCTGGACTATTAAAATGGAGGCTAATGAACGCGTATCCCAGGTTCTGAAGGAGAAACCTGCTGCGGGAGGATGGCGTCTTCAGTACCTCCCAGAGCGACGGGAGAACTGTCGGCTTAAGGTAAGGAAATGGGGCACCGCTGCTTTCGGGGGTTTTGGCGCGGGGGCGGGGGCACGTGAAGTGCTGGGTCTCGTGGGAAAACCAGGCTCTGAGCCTGACTGCTCTGAGCTCCCCCGAGGCTGGAATGTTGTAAGTAAACGGCTGCTTCTCCCCGCAGTAATTATCTGGGGGTTCACTTAGGCAATTGTGGACACGCCCCGTCCTGCTCTGTTACCAGACCACATTTTTAAAAGCGTAGATAATTCAGTCACTGCTGTAAAAGCTGCAAGAATGTTAAAATGTTTAATTTTGATATTATTTGTCTAAGACATATGGAAAGATTCATCAAACTAGAGACTGAAGATTATTGTTCTTTATGCAGTTCACTTTTTGGGTATTTTAACCTTAAGTAAAAAAAAAAAAAAAAATTAACCATAAATCATTTGGTTACCTGATCTCTGGGCAGCCATTCTGTAAATTTAGGGTTATTGCAAAGTGAGAAAATCTAACACATGACTGTTAAATGGAATGAACTTTTATAAATACTAACTGCAGCACTTAAAGGGCCACATGAATTATGTTTTTAAAAAGATTTTATTTATTTCAGGGAAAGGGGAGAGAAAGAGAGGTAGAGAAATAGGGTTGTGAGAAATATCTCACAGCCCCGAGCTGAGGACATGGCCTGCAGCACAGGCCTGTGCCCTGACCGCGTGGGGATCAAATCCCAGAACTTTAGGTTCACAGTTGGTTCACAGGCCAGCACTTAGTCCACGGACTCACACCAGCCAGGGCAACATTGTGTAGATAATTGATTAAACCTTTGTTTATTTCTATTTTGGGGGTTCTCTTTAGAACTTTGTATCCAAATCGGCCTAGTGACCTCAAGTTTCTCCTTGGCCAATTCTCCTCCCCTCCTTGTTTGTATCTTGCAGGCCTTAGACACATTAAACCATTTGGTCCTGTTTTCATTCCCCTGTTGTTTCATTTTGGGTATTCTTTTGAAACTTTTTAACTATGCGAGATCACAATTAGCCTCTTAACCTAAAACAATGCTTGAAAGCATTGCTCTATTATAATTCTATTTCCTCACCTTCTTTGTGCTATTTTTATACATTATAAGCCCATAAAACATGTTTATAATTTTGGTAATGCAGTTTTCTTTTCAAGCAGATAGGGAATATACAAATATCAAGTCATTATGCTGTACACCTGAAATTAATATAATGTTGCATGTCGATTATACCTCAATAAAACCCAGATAGTAAATAAACAACCACAAAGAAGCATACATTTGTTCTGTCTCTCATGTTTACTATGTAGTTATTTCTCACCTGTGCTCTTTACATCTACAACTCACTCGGTGACTTGTAGAAAATATTAGCCTCTTTCAGAAGCTAACATAGTCATCACTCACACACACACACACACACACACACACACACACACACCCCACCATCCCCACCCCCGCTTTCCCACCCCTCCTGGTGTTGATACCTGTGCCTGTTTCCTGCCCTACATGCCGGGTCGTGTGTGGCCCTTCTGCCAGTTCTGGGGGTGGAAGTGGTTCTCAGATTGCGGTTATCTAACCTCAGTAGCCAGAGAATGTTCGATGTACAATCCTGAGCACCTCCAGACTCTCAGAACGAGAGTCCTCTGAGCAAACAACCCCTTGTCCCCAGAGAGAGAGCCCCATACATAGTTCGGGGTTACTTTCTTTGAAGACTGTTTGATTAGTAGTTAAAGAAAGACCAGTTTTGCAGACCCATGTATCAAGTATCAGGAGAGGCCCATAGTCTGACACATAGGATATCGCCAAATGAGTCTGGTTTGGATTTTAAATAAATATGAGGTGGCGCGATGGTGTGATGCACTGACACTGCAGCTCTCCTGCTGGTGCTGCCTCCCGGGCCGCGGGCCGGCGTCTCCTGATGGGGGAGATGGGCCACGCGCCGCGGTCCCTGGCCCTGCCTCCGTCACTGGAGGGGTCTTTGAATGTGCGGAAATAAAGCCAGAGACAAGGACCCTCTGCAAAGAAGCAGGAGAGTTTCTCAGACTCGAGAGGTCACGGTTTTGCTCTGGGTTAGGAAGATTATGCCCAGAGCAGCCCCGGTCCTTCAGGGCTGGCTGGTGCCCTGTGAAATACGCAACGTCGGAAGGCTAAGGAGGAAGGACCGGGGAGGCAGGCGTGGGACCGGGGAGGCAGGCGTGGGACGGGGGAGGCAGGCGTGGGACGGGGGAGGCAGGCAGGCGTGGGACCGAAGGAAATCCCGAAAGGACTAGGGGCGGGGCGGGGGGCGGGGCCTTCAATCTATGAATAAAAATCCTGCGATCCAGTGACTAAAAGAAATAAAATCCCAGCAGAGCAGTCTAGCGGGCCGAAGCTGGAGTCTCTCCTGTCCCGAGGTGGGTGCGGGTGAGGGGAGAAAGTGAGTTGAGAGAGTGCGGGTGTGGCCTGTCTCTGTGTGGCGGAGCGGCGCGGCCGGCTTCGCGCACCCGGGTGCTGGCTGATTCTTTGCTCCTTTCCTTCTCCTGCACCGGCGCATTCGTATTCCCCGACAATTCTTTTCTGCCCCGGAACCGCCCCCCAAGAAGCCCGCGGGATAAACACTCCTGGACACTTTTTTCCAGGCACTCTGCGCAGACCACCTTCCTCTCACAGCGCTGGGATCCTGCTCGCCATGGCGGCCACCTGCTCTAAGTTTAGTCTTGCATTCTTGGTCCTGGCAGTGTGGCCGGTCTCAGTGTCCTACATCTCGGCTCTCCGCAACGACGGTGGTATCGCTGGTGGTCAGTTCGGACTCTAATCTTAGTGGGGGAGGGGAAGCGAGGGACGGTGGGGGAAAGTAGGGGCGGGGCATTAGGTTGCAAAACTTGGAGTCTTCTGCAGTTCAACACCATTTCTGCTCGGTGGCACCGCTGCCCTGTCAGGATTTGCAGCCTTCCTAGTCGTTTTGATCGTCCCTCCTATGCCCCTGACATACAAAGAGCCCATGTCCCTGTGATTTATTTACTTATTTTTATTTTTAGTTATTATTAGAGAGAAGGGAAGAGGGAGAGAAACCTCAGTGGTCACTGTGTGGTTGCCTCTCGCACATGTGTCCTCTGGTTCGCAGGCTGGCACTCACTCCGCTGAGCCACACCAGCCAGGACTGTACCTGTGATTTGTTATCTCGGCATTTGCCATCCCCGTTACTACTGGCAGCCATTTTGGGGAGAACGAACTCCTACCACCATTCCTGACTTTCAGCAAAAGTTATCACTGAGTTTTCTGAGAATCCGGGCGCTCTTCTCATCCTCGCTGTCTTCACGGGCTTGATAAGCAAGAGTTAACCGCAGGCTTTCCCGCGGAATGGTGTTGTGGTTGAGCGGGCACTTCCTGCTTTCTCATGTTATACCTCCCCCTGCCATACTCACTCCCCTGAGCCCTCTGATCAATTCCCCTACGTCCTGCCTCAGGAGTTCTGGCTTTTCTGCTCCGTGCACGGCAGCCACGCCTTTTCCCAGGCTTGCAAGGTCCGTCCTAGCAGCAGGTCAGCGCCATCTCCCAGGGCTGTGCTAAAGCACAACCCCCAATAGTGAACTCTCCCTTCTCCAAGGTTGGGATCCTTCCCCATCCTGGACGCTACTGTCACCCAGCTCCCTCAGGAGCAGCCCCCAACATGCTCTCCATGTGCCCGCAGGGCCCTGGGCTATTTCCTGACAGCCCTCTGGCATCTAACCTTTCCTTCATAGCCACCTGGCATGTCCCTGATTTGTGTAACCACTGACTGCTGCTGGGTGTCGGCCGGTGGGCAGGGAGGACCTGTCTGGAGACCTGCGGCTTCCTGCCAGGCAGCGGCCTCCTGCTCCTCCGCAAGCAAAGGGACGGGCACTAGCCTTCCCCTGGTGGAGGGCGAGGCCAGGCAGAGTCAGTCCTGGCTCTGCCAGCCCAGCCATCAGGGGGTTGTCCTGCTGTCACAGAGGTGGGGGAGGGGTGTTTGGCGTTCTTTTCTTCCAACCCCAATCCTCACCAGCATTTTTCCTTCACAGACGTTCATTCTCTTCAGTGTGATTTCAGCATTACTTTTAATGAACGACCACGGTGCATGGTTCAAGCCTTTATGGGTACAGTGGATGTGCTCTTATATGACTGTGACAACAATGAGGTCATGGCAGTGAATGATAAGTTAAAGGGCACAAAAACCTTGGAAGATATGAAACATACACTGAAAGACATGGGGGACTTGATGAGAGAGAAACTACTTGACATTAAAGCGGAGACAAAAAGAGGTAAGATAGAAAAATGCAGGTGCAGAAGCAGGCAGACTGTGGGGTTGGCTGTATTCATTGTTCTCACGTGAAAAAGAAAAGTGCACGTTGGTCCCTCCCGTGTGGCGCAGCAGAAAGGGCAGGGAGCACAGGGCAGGACTGGAAGAGTTCAGAGGAGGTGGGCACCAGGTCGGGGCAAAGGGTTCGTCAAGACCGGAGGCTGACGCCTGCCCCGTGGGGCGGTGGGGCAGCTCCTCCCACCCTGCAGGTCGGGCTGATGTGCTGGTGTAACGCCAGTGGAAGCTGCAGTGGATCTTCGGGGTTTGGTTTCGGTGGACAGAGGTTCCCGGTCTTTGACTCGGCGAGCGGAAAGTATATAGCGGATAATTCTGGAGACAAAGGGATGAAAGAGAATTTGGAGCAGGACAAGGAAGTGACCATAGCCTTCCAAGTTACCTTCCTGGGAAACTGCAAGGAATGGCTTACAGCCTTGGTGGACAGGGAGAGGGAGCTGGAGACAAGAGGTAAGAGGGAAGACGGGGGCGAAGGGGTCCTTCTACTAAGACTGACCTACCCTTGTGTGAGTATGTGTGTGTGACTGTGGGTGCATGTGTGAGAGCATTGGTGTATGTGGTTGGGCATGTCTTAGTGTGCATGTGAATGTCTGGGTGTATGTTTGTGTGCTTGTGTGAGTGCGTGTGTTTGAAAAAGCGACTCATCCATGGTGAATTCTTGGGAGAATAACAGCCACAGACATGTCCTGCCTCCCTCCTTTCCCTTCCTACCTCCTCACATCTCTCCTCGTGCACAGAACCATGTACCACTCACGGTGGGTTTCTTGCTGACCCCGAACATGCGGGCCTCGTTCTCTTTTCAGTCCTGTTCCTGGTACTGTTGTCTCTTCTCAGCATCTTCTTCATCTCACCACTTTATTTCTGGAAATCCTTCAATGCCACCTCAAATCAGCTCTTGAGAAGACTGCTCTACTGCCTTCCTCATGTGTTACCTCCTCTCTGTCATAGCAAGAGGGACTGGGTATGTGGAAACCCTTGCCTCCCTCATTAGCAGTAGGAGCCCCAAGGGGACAGGGCCCCTCTCCTGGCTTTGTTCCAACCCCAGGATGTGTCCCAGTGGCTGCCGCACGTTGGGAGATGTGGGGGACGTTGAAGGCCAGCGTCAAAAGTCAGGTTAAATGCTTGGCAAGGCCATGCTTGAGAGCTTGTGTCTGCAAAGCAGAGCAAGCTGGCAGCTGGTGGCATCCGGAGCCTGCAGGCATTGGGAAGGAAATAGTTAACTGCAGGCTTTAGCTGAATTCAACTGCAGCCTTGGCAGAGGAAAGTTTTATCATTTAGGTAGCCTGGGAAACAAAAAATCTTCACCTGCAGTTGCAGAAACATTCTTGAGCTTCATCTAGCCAATTCCTAGAAAATAAACATGGAGACCGTGTTCAAGGTCATTGTCTCTCCATCAGAAAATAATGCCCACGTGGCCCCCAATTTCTCTAAACTATCTTGTGTTTGTGTCTTTGTGTTGTGTTGTCTCTTCCTCAATCTCCCGTTGCCGCCACCCATGGACCACCACTCCGTGCGGGTCGTGGCAGAGGGATAGAACCTGTCCTCATCGTTAGAGTTACCTGGGGCAGCAGGGGCTGAGGGGGCGTCTCCTCATAAATGGGGTCTGGGCAAGGCCAATGCTCCGGTGTTTCCATTGCAGCAGCACCAACCGTGGCCCCGGCCCCGGCCATGTCACCCACAGTTTCAGCCACGCCAGCCACCACCACAGCCACAGCTCAGTCCAAGGCCATGAGCACCATGTTTGCGCCTGTGATCATCCCTGTGATCCTCACCTGCCTGATCATACTTGACTGTGTTCCGTTATAATAACAGGTATGGAAGGTGGAGCTGGGTAGAAAGTGAGGGGGTGGACGCCCTGCAGTGAGGACAGGGAAGGTGAATTGCCACCTGACACCTGCCCCTCGCTGAACTTTCCCATTGTGCAAATGGGACCAGGAAAATAAGGCTAACACAACTTGATAGCTGTCACTTGGACAAGCTCAGTCCTGAGAGCAGCCGTCTCCTTACTGTTGGTGCCGTGGGACAGGCAGGGACCCCCACCAAGGCCTAAGGCCTGTGGATGCTGAAGGGGTCAGTGATTTCAGTCCTGATTCTGAGTCTCTATTTGGGAGGGAGTGTGAGGGCCCAGAACGGATGCTGTGGGGACAGCAGGCGCACGGGGCAGGGCAGTGCTCACAGTCCGGTGAGAGCAGCATGGTGGCTGCATGCGATGTGCCAGGGGAAGGGGCCGTCCAGGGACTAAGAGGAGGGGCCTGGGTCTAGTCCTGGCAAGGGGGTAGAAGGTCTTACAGACACAACTCTAAAGCTTGGAGTTCACAGATGCATTCCCACAGAAAGTGGCTTCAGAAAGGCCAGTAAAGAATTAGGCCAACAGTAAGGACTGTTTAAGGAGACATATAGTGAGGTTGGAAAGAGGTCAGTCCTGGCTGAGCCCTGGTGCGATCAGCTGGCTAGTCTCCTCCAGACCCCAGATCCCGAGCCACAGAGGGCCCTGCCCTGAGCAGAGGTGACTGGGCAGGTGGGTGCGGCTGACCGGGAATGGCTGGGGCAGGACTGGGACCATCATACTGAGAAATCCGCCTGCTGCTGGGTAGGAGGCTGGGAGGAAAGGAAGGATGTTTGTCTGTGACCCTCCCCAAGGCTGGAGGGGAGAGGGTGCTGGCCCTCCTCTCCATCACAGCTGCCACCAGGTCCTGCGGGCCCTGCCGTCCCCAGAAGAGTCAGGACTGAGTGAAAGCAGCAGACTATTCTTACTCACTTCAGTCTCCAGCCCAAACAGGCCTGTGGCAGGGCCTGGCGCTGACTCTGTGACGTGCAAACGGTGGGCAGAGGTCGGGACAGGCTGCAGGCCCCCGGGCAGGGGCGGCAGGTTCAGGGACCCTCATGACTCCAGTGAGGGCAGGGCCCAGGATGGGGAGCGACTGGGGTCCGTAGCCCCAGCAGAATGGCCCCAGGTTTCCCTCAGCCACGGGGACCAACACTTGCTCTTTCCTGCAGGCCCACGGTGCTACCAAGGCGCCCCTGATGGTGTGGTGTGCCTCAGCGACGCTGCCTCGCGGATGCTGCCTCTGGGCGAGCTGCAGCTCATTCTTAGGCCAGCAGGACTCAATCCTTCCAAGTCCAGGGACTGCCATCGACCAAAATGCAATAGGAAATACTATATCTCATGTCCTTTCTCATGTCCTTTATTACCTCATTATCTTCTCTGATGCTTTAAAAAAACACATCACGACACCTCGGGTGCTAAGAGATTTAAACTTGAATATCTTCTGTTAGAAATCTCAAAAAATGCCATGGCCTGTTTGGCTCAGTTGGTGTGAACATTGTTCTGTATGCTGAAGGGATGCGGGTTCAACAAACATCAGGGCTCATGCCCAGGCTGCGGATTCAATGCCCAGTCAAGGAGCCTATGAGAGGCAACCCAATGATGTTTCTCTGTCTCTCCTTCTCTCTCCCCCCTCTTCTCTCTCAAAAATCAATGAAAAGGTTTTCTTGGGTGAGGATTAAGAAAAAAAAAATCAGAACAAAGAGAATATTTTCCATCTTTTCCTTTGTTTGTGGAAGATGAGATACATCTCTGTATATAGCTTTGTTCATGCAACTGATAGTGCCAGAACGTATAGAACTGAAGGCTTCCTTCTGTGTACTTGAAAACAATCATGCACTTTAAAATAACAAAAGCACCTTTATGTGATATGTAATGTTAATGTTTTCATTAGTTACTTATAATGATATTTAAATAAACATATTATTAAAAAACTTGATTACTCTGGGGTTTTATTATATTGTTTTTAAAGAATTATTTAGCTTATTTGAGCCAAACGTGGCACATGCTAAGGAGCAAGATCTTAAGTGCTCCTGAGAATAATGGGGTTTTTTCTGTCTGTAGGTATTTGTTGTTTTGTGGGGGGGGGGGAGGTTTGGCTCAGTCCCTTTGCATTTTCACCTGCCCCCAAAGCCCTGTCCCTCTGACAGCTGTCAGTCTGTTTTCTGTATTATGAGTCTGTTTCTATTTGGTTTGTAAGTTTATTTTGTTCATTAGATTCCACAATTGTGAAACCATGTGGTCTTTGTCTTTTCTCTGACTGGCTTACTTCACTTACCATAATGCTCTCCAGGTCCACCCATGCCATCGACAAAGGTAAGATTTCCTTCTTCATCTTTTTCTTTTCCTTTTAATGGCCAGCAGTATTGTGTTGTGTAAATGTACCACAGCTTTTTTTATCCACTCACCTACTGATGGGCATTTGAGCTGCTTCCAGATCTTGCCTATTATAAATAACACTGCAGTGAACATAGGGGTGTATAAGAATATTCTTTCCACTCAGTGTTTCAGGTGTCTTCAGATGTGTTCCTAGAAATATTCCCAGTAGAGAATTCATTACATTTCACTGTTCCTTCACATGGTGGGATAAATATTATCAGTGACCCTGCTAGAGTTTTTTGTGGAAACAGAATTGAAGGGTCAGTCTTAAGTTCACATGTGTCTTGTGTTGGTCTCGCACTATTATGCTGTCGCATGGCGCGTGTGGGGAGCGCTGTGGGTTGCCGCTCATCCCCAGTCCAGGCAACAACTGCCGCGGGGGGATGGAACACGTTCCAGGGAGCGCAGTGCTCCGGGATCTGAGGGTTACTGTCCACGGCCAGCTGAGATGGGACTGGGGACTCTGAATCCCACAGAGCCCGTCCTGGGGTTGTCACAGATGGGGGGGATAAACAGGAGTCATGACAAACACTTCTGTTTGCCAGGAGAGGGGACATGGCACATCCCCCTAGTGGGGAAGGCTCCATGTCCCTTTGTTCAAAGGCTTTTATTGAAAGTGTTATCATTGGGGCTAGGTTAACAGGAATGCACAGGTTATCTCATTACATCAGTATGTTAATGTTTACAGAGAACAGGTGATGAGTTATGGCAGGAACACTGATATACATGGGTCCATGAGGAGACTAGTTAACAAGAGAGGCAACTAAACATGAAGATGTAGTAAACACAAGAGGGCTCAAGGTTGTAGGGTTAGGGTTTGTGAATAATGTAAATATTCTTCCCAGCTGGCTATAGTTTCTGAGGGAAAAGCAAAGCATACTTTAAAGAATTTACTCTTAGGCCTAATTTCCCTGGGAACCGCTAGATCTGGTTTAGGACTGACTGGTATTGTTTTGAGCCTGAGCTAGGCTTGGGGAGGGAGCCACCAAGAGACAAGGAGCCTTCTTTCAGATAGAATGAGGATGCCGGCCATATCCATGGCCATGTCCAAGCCGAGCCAAGGGGTGCGGGCCTTTTTGCCCTTTTTCTGTGTCCCCCATTCCCACGTCTGCTGCCCATGCTAGCCAATATCTGTTTTAGGTTGTCTTTCTCTGCACGAGAAAAAAACTTACTTGTCATGGATCACCAACCATCACAGGGTCAAGCAGGGGGATGCGAGGGAGGCAGGAGCTATACCCTTGCCGGGGGACAGGTTATGTCTCCTCGGGAGCCTGTTTTCCCAAGGCCTCCCTGATTATTTCCAGCCTTGGGGCCCTCCCACCTGTCGGCAAGGTTACAATTCCTGAAACCAGATAGGGTGTTTCCCAACATGTTGATGGTCTGTACACAAACACACCCTGGAACTTGAGTAGTGAGAACCTTTCTGATTTCACCCCATTCCTCACCCTCCACGGACACTTGCGTGTGATCCCTCCCCTGACTCACCCCCTTCAGTGAGAAGTAAGTCTTCCCAGCAAAAGTATCTCTGCTTCTCAGTAACAACTCTTGTATTTCCCCACGGACAAAGGATCAGTAATCAGAATGTATAATAAACTCCTACAAATAAATAAGGATAACTCTAACTCTCCTAAATTTGGGCTATTGCATTAAGCCATTCAGAGGTGGTAAATGAGCCTGTGAAAAGATTGAACTTGACCCAAGGCATCCAGATAACACGAACACTGACGAATTTCAGTATCTCTGGAAGTGGTGGCCAGGAAGTGGGACACCAGGCATTCTCTTACATTGCTAGCAGGAGGATGACTGAGTCACCCCTTTCAATTAGATGTCACCACATCCCGACAGAAGACGAGGGTGTACCCTGCTGCACAGAAGTCCTGGAGGTAGCTCCAGGCAGGCACACGTAGACCAAAGAGCATGTAGGTATATGGCTGTTGATTCTAATGTGTGTCACAACCAAAAATGAACTATAAGGTAGCCTACCAAAGTAGGATATATTTTTCAATGTTGCTTAAATATTTGTGTTTCTGGACATCTGGCCAAGATGGAAGCATAGGTAGATACATTTTGCCTCCTTGCACAACCAGAACAAGGACAACAACAAATTTAAAAACAGAAAATAAGCAGAATTGCCAGAAAATTGAACTTTATGGAGGTCCGACAACTGGGGAGCTAAAGAAGAAACATTCATCCAGAATGGTAGGAGTGGAGGAGACAGGCAGCCTGGGCAGAGACCAGTAGGGACAGCTGGGGTGCAAGACAGTCCATGCAACCCAGGGCTCCAGTGCAAGAAAAGAAAGCCTCAAAACCTCTGGCTGTAAGAACCTGTGGGTGTTGTGGCAATGGGAGAAACTCCCAGCCTCACAGGAGAGTCCATTGGAGAAACTCATAGGGCCCTAGAACATACGCAAACCCTCCCACCTGGGAACCAGCACCAGAAGGGACCAATTTGCTTGTGGGTAGCGGGGGAAGTGACTGGAAGCTGGCTGTGAGCTGAACAAGTGGCATCTGCTCCCTGTCTGACCCCCACCGCACACAGACCCTAACAACACAGCCACCAGGGTTGCCCCCGCCGTGGTGAACACCTAAGGCTCTGCCCCTCCCAACGTAAGAGTCAAGCTGAGACAAAGAAATATGCCAAATGAAAAAACAAATCAAAGCTCCAAAAATAGAACTAAGCGATGAACAGATAGCCAGTCTATCAGATGCACAATTCAAAACAGTGGTAATCTGGATGCTCACTGATTGATTGAGTATGGTCACAAAATGGAGGAAAAAGTGAAGGCTACGCAAAGTGAAATAAAGAAAAATATACAGGGGACCAACAGTAAAGGGAAGGAAACCAGACTCACATCAATGATTGGGAGCCAAAGGAATAGATAAACACACATTCAACCGGAACAGAATGAAGAAGCAAGAATTCAAAAAAATGAGAGGCTTAGGAACCTCTGGGACTCCTTTGAATGGTCCAACATCCAAATCATGCAGTGCCAGGAGAAGACGAAGGGCAAGAAATTGAAAACTTATTTGAAAAAAGTAATGAAGGAGAACTTCCCCAGTCTGGCAAAGGGAATACAATTCCAATAGATCCAGGGCACTCAGAGAGTCCCAAAGAAGTTGGACCAAGGAAGCATACACCAAGGCACATCCTAATTACATTACGCAAGATTAAAGATAAGGAGAGAATCTTAAAAGCAGCAACAGAAAAGGAGATAGTTACCTACAAAGGAGTTCCTATAAGACTTTCGGTCGATTTCTCAAAAGAAACCTTGCAGGCAAGAAGGGGCTGGCAAGAAGTATTCAAAGTCATGAAAGGCAAGGACCTACATCCAAGGTGACTCTATCCAGCAAAACTATCATTTAGAATGGAAGGACAGATGAAGTGCTTCCAAGACAAGGTAAAGTTAAAGGAGTTCATCATCACTAAGCCCTTATTAGGTGACATGTTAAAGAGACTTATCTAAGAAAAAGAAGATCAAGAACTATGAATAGTAAAATGACAACAAACTCACAACTATTCACAACTGAACCTAAAAAAACAAAAACAAACTAAGCAAACAACCAGAACAGGAACAGAATCATAGAAATGGAGATCAGAGGGGGAGGGGAGCGGGAAGAATGGGGGAAAAGGTACATGGAATGAGCAGCGTAAATGGTAGGTACAAAATAGCCAGGGGAGGTTAAGAATAGTATAGGAAATGGAGAAGCTAAAGAAATTATATGTATGACCCACAGACATGAACTAAGGGGGAGGAGGGAATGCTGGTGGGAGGGGGGTGCAGGTAAGAGGGGAATAAAGGGGGAAAAATGGGACAAATGTAATAGCATAATCAATAAAATATATATTTAAAAATTAAGTTAAATTAATAAAAAATATTTCTGTTTCTCCCTACTGGAAGTCAAATAATCTAAACTATCAAAAATGAAGCAACCGGGGCGGGAAGCGGGCTGCTGGAGGCAGCTGGAAGCAGCTAGGCCTACGCGCAGTTGAATCCTCCGGGAATCGGATCCATCAGAACCGCCACCATGACTGTGGGCAAGAGCGGCAAGACGCTGCAGCACATCGACTACAGGATGAGGTGCATCCTGCAAGATGGTCGTATCTTCATTGGCACCTTCAAGGCTTTCAACAAACATGTGAATTTGATCCTGTGTGATTGTGACGAATTCAGGAAGATCGAGCCAAAGAACTCAAAACAAGCAGAGAGACAAGAGAAGAGAGTCCTTGGTCTGGTGCTGCTTCACGGGGAGAACCTGGTCTCAATGACAGTAGAGGGACCTCCTCCCAAAGATACTGTCATTGCCCGAGTGCCGCCGGCTGGAGCTGCTGGGGGCCCAGGGATTGGCAGAGCTGCTGGCAGAGGAATCCCAGCTAGAGTTCCCATGCCCCAGGCCCCTGCAGGACTTGCTGGGCCAACAGGTGATGACCCCACAAGAAAGAGGCACCATTGCAGCTGCTGCGGCTGCGGCCACAGCCAGTATTGCAGGGGCCC